AAAATTGAATCAGCACTGAATAACTTAGATAACTTTTATATAATTCAACTGTATTGTCAGTTCAATTTGGATTCAGATAGCTAGCTATTGTATCACCAAGGATTTTAACCTCATTCTATGCTCCGTTAGCCAGACGTTGCTATGCTTCAATAATTTCCCAACAGTAATCATGAAGTGAGCATGACTTCTCCTGACCTCAAGGCAGCATTTGATCAGGTTTGGCATCAGGAAACCCTGTCAAAAATTGAAAATCAATGGGAACTGAGGAGCACACTCTATCCTTACAGGCATCACACCAAGCACAAAGAAAGATAGCCGTGTTTGATGGAGACAAATTCATTTTCAGTCATTGGGCATTGCTATAGGAGTTCCTCACAATTGTGTCCTAGACCCAACAATCTTCAGTCTTCAGCATCCATTCAAAAGTGGGGGTGTTTGCTGTTGATTGATGCTGAGTGTTTGCTCTCCTTGGGTAATGTAGCAGTCCTTTTTCATCAGCATTAGGCTTTGGACAGCATTCAGACTTGGGCTGAAAAGTGGCAAGTAACATTCATGCTTCACAACTGTCAGGCTATAGCAATCTCCAATGATGGAGAGACAAGAAAACAGCAGATGCTGGAATCCAAGCTGGACAAACAGGAGGCTGGAAGAACACAGCAAGCCAGGCAGCATCTGAAGGAAAGGAGCAGTCAAAAGTATCCAACATAACCAGTCCTGAAGAAGGGTAATACCTGAAACGTTGATTGCTCCTTTCCTCCAGATGGACTACAGTTGGCCAGCAATTTAAGTGGACCAGTCACACAAATATAATGGCTACAAAAGCATGTCAGAGGTTAAGTTGTCAATACAGTGTGGAGGAACACAGCAGGTCAGGCAGCATCAGAGGAGCAGGAGAGTCAATGTTTTGGGTCGGAACCCTTCATCAGGACTGGTTAAGTTGGATACTTTACCTCCTGACTTTGCAAAGTTTTTTCATCATCTAGAAGACACAAGACAAGATTGCCCTTGAACTGTGTGTCTTGCTCAGCTATTTCAGGCCTTCATTCCTATAGTCTGGAGTCACATGTGGGCCATTTCAATTAAGGATAGCTGATTTCCTTCTCTAAAGGAGTCAAAGAATCCCTACTGTACAGATAGAGGCCATTCAACCCATTGAGTCTGTACTGATCCACCATAGAGCATCCCACCCAGAGCAACTTCTCCGTCCTATCCCTGTAACTCCTCGATAACCATGGCTAATCCACCTAGCCTGCACATTCCTGGATGCTATCCACCTAACCTGCAGGTCTTTGGACTGTGGGACGAAACTGGAGCACCTGGCAGAAACCCACACCGACGCCAGGAAAACATGCAAACTCCACACAGTCACCCAAGGGTGGAATCGAACCCGGGTCCCTGGTGTTGTGAGGCAGCAGTGCTAACTACTGTGCCACTGTGCGGTCCCGGGTATTAGTAAAGTCAGTTTTATTTCAAAAATGATGATGGTTTCATGATCGGAATTACTGAGACTAGCTGTGAACACCAGATTTAACATCTGAATTTAAATTCTGTCTGCTGCCTGGGTGGGATTTGAACCCCATGTATCTTGAACATGAGCCTTGCCCTCTTGACTAGTTCAGCGATATTGTCACTACACTACCATCTTCCTTGTGTAGGAGGTCTGAGGAAGGGGACAGGATCACTAGCTTTTAAGCTAAATCCTAGAGGAGTTTCCGTCTCTGGGGTGCAAATCTTCAGAGCCAACTGTGCACCTCCTCATCGCCCATACTCCCATTATTAACCATTCATCCTTATGATATTCTGCCTTCACCTGTTGAATGGAAAGACACCACACTCTCTAGCATCTAGCTGGATGTCAAACAGCCTTTTTAAACATGCACACTGTCGATATCTTCAGAGCTGATAACTAAAAGCTTTGAAAGAAAATGGAAGAGCAAATGCGGAATTATTCTATTTTGCAATGCCCCAGTAATTATTCTGTCCTGCTTATGCAAAACATTGTCAAGGAATTTCATCAGTAATTCCTGGTGACTCGTGTTGCTAAATGAGGGTTAAACATTCAGGTTAGGAGTAGTGTAAAACAGGAGTTAGACAATTGGTCGCTCATTCTATGAATTGTCTAATATTTAACTCCATAAAAGTCAAAAGTTTAAATTCTGGGGACTGTATATAATTGGATGGCTGAACTGATACTGTGTTACCCCTTTGTCAGAGACAGATTTCTAGCCCTAGTAGCCCTGCCTACTGCAGAGATCAGCCACTTGGGTGAGGCACTACAACGCTACCAGTATCTGCGCATTGTACCGCAATTAAAGTTTGTTACCCTCAAAAGAGAATGGAGGGGTAGAAAGCCCTCACTCAGTGGAGAACGCATTTTGTGTTTGACGTTTGGGCAGTTTACCATGTGTTTGTCACTCCAGAAACAATATAAGCTCACACTAATGTGAAATATTGATTGCAGCAGTCCACCTACATCAATTCAGCTGCAATACCCTTTGCAGGAAAATATAAATATTGAATTGATTTTTCAATACATCGCAAACCCTTCATAATGGATGGGTTGGCTCACTGAGTCTCTTGGGTTCTCTGAATATTTCCCTGGATCTGAAACCTCATATAGAGTGAAGTCTAACCATATTTCATAATTTGACATTTTTGATGGCAAGGTTCTCCTTGGATATGGTGTTAGACCCTGTTTCATCTGATATGTGGAAGGTATCGTAAATTTAGAAAGCGCAGAGGAGAACTGAAAAAGGAATCAGAGCAAAAAGATAGTATGATAGTAGATTAGAGGGCATCATAGAAGTATCTTGTAATGATATAACCAGAGAAGGAAGAGCAGAATCTATTAGGGACCTGAAAGGAAATTATCTGGTGGAAGAAAGGGTCTAGCTGAGGCACTCAATGAATGCTTGGCATCTGTCTCACAAAGGAAGAGGATGCTGGCAAAGTCACAGTAAAGGAGGGGAAGTAAAGATATTGGATTTGATCAAAATAAATAAAGAAGAGGTACTTAAAAACTGTTTGACAATACATCTCTTAGACCATTTGTGGCCGGCAGCACAGCAATCATACTCAACTCGCTCATGCTTTCAAGCCTCAGAACACTTATGTCCAATTGATGCGATTCTGCAGTTGGACAACATTTATTAAATAATCAGGACTGTGCTAAGAATTACACTGGAAGTCAATTTAAGATGATCAGTCAGGGCTGTCAGTGTGATAATGGGTGTGCTAGAAGCCACTTATATTAACACACAGGACCTGTTTTATGCAGGCAAAAGGAATTTATACACATATTACACGTATTTCATTGGGGAAAGAAGTGATTATGGATGCAACCAATCTCTGCTGAATTCCCATTGCTAACGTCCTGACCAATCAGAATCTACCTGCCTGGTCTGAGAACTAAGACTAACAGTTAACTGTTCTTGCTGCACCTCCATGCCAATGATGGCCCAGTAATCAACATCCTCCTATTATGATGTATAAATTGGTGTTCCCTTTTCCAAGTCTATCTTTTATATCTTTGTTATGATGATTGCAAGATGAATCGCTTTGACTTCAGCAATCTATGGAAGATTGTAGTCCTCAAAAGACCACCCAGTGCAGGTGGGACTGTTGAGTGAAGGAACAGTGACAATTGTGGAGGCTCTGGTTAAGATTTTCCAATCTTCCTTGGCAGTAGTGCCAGTGGACCAGGGAATGCAGATGTTGTAGCCTAGTATAGCTTGGAGAAATGAAGACAGGCAATAAACATATAATTTTAAGAGGTGTCCAGGGAAAGAGATTATAACGTGCTGTGTTTCAGAGGTAGTAGGAACTGCCGATGCTGGAGAATCTGAGATAACAAGGTGTAGAGCTGGATGAACACAGCCAGGCCAAGCAGCATCAGAGGAGCAGGAAAGCTGAC